AATGTAAAGCTTGACCTGGATCTCCAGACAGGGTTAGATAGACTACCAGCTGTCATTTCACAGGATATCCCAGTATTACGAGACCCTAGTTTTCTGGTAGCTACCTGTTGCTACGTCTTCCTCAAAGCCAAGTAGGTATGAATAAATATCGTCAACCGCTGCGCCTGTCTTACAACAGCTTTACTCCACTTTCAACCAATAAGAAACTAACAATCGAGAGGTCGAAAGACTTCGATGTCATCTGGCACTCGGTCTATAGTACAGCATAAAAACGGTGTATGAATTGTGTCCTCAACAAAATATTTTTCATAATCAATTACTCAAGAATTCCACTGCCGGAGTTACGACGGCATTAAATGTCTTATAGGGAGGAAAATACTGTAAAATATCCGCATTAGTCAAAATATGAATAAAGAGTCGTTGATCCCTTTAATGATGAACACACTGTATGGAATAACTAATCTTGCTTTTCCTTAGTGATGACATTGTAATTGCCAGTTGGTTGATACATTCGAACGGGTGGACTTAGACCAGTGAGCTGAGCGCAGGACTCTCTTCAGAATATACTCGACTGACTCACAAGAATGGAAATATCAAGGTACACAAACCGCAAGAATGAAACTTCTTCGGAGGAAACGACTAAAATGGAAGCAAATGGGGTGAAAGTGCGGTGTAGCCTGCCTTACAACTTAACCGCTGTGAAAAACTAGTTCGGCGAGAAACATTCAATGTTTTACTTATCACTTGCCTGATAGAGTGGTACACAAAGTTATGATAAAGATAATTGATGTGGTGGAAACAATGGTGTTTCGTCCAGTCTGCTGCTGACATTCTGTAATTTTGGCCAATCAGGGTTGCACTTGATCGGTAATTATATGTGGCTGTGAGTCCAGGCCGGAAGTGGACAAATCGAATTACTGACGGTGTTGGTTGTGGGAATAGTGCTTGCAGAAACTTCGCGACTCTGCGCGGAAACGAAATGACAACCAATCTTTTTATGAGTACCTGTAAGTTTGAGTTAAAAACTCCATCAAATATTTAGACGTAGCGTGCTACTCATAAGGTTGCTGAAAACTTTTCAACAGTCAACGACCGATTTCACCTTTCCTGAGGCTTATCAAGTAGGTGCAGTTTCCGAGTTTCCGTCAACATTATGTCCTAGTTGAATTCGAATGCGACGAATAATTCCACCTAGACTTTTTTCTCGGTGACTTGCCTAATAATCACAACAAAAAAGCGGTAGAACAAAGCCCAATGTCAGCCAGTACAGAATCGAAAGTCTGTCCTAGTTTGCAAGTCCTGTTTGGCAGTTCAGCCTGAGTGTCTTTACGGATTGCCTTTGCGCTCACAGGCCAAGTTGGACACCGCCTCGGCAACAGAGTGTACTGATGTTCACGCAAACCAGTGCTTTCCCGAGAATCGGTACATCACCTGAAAAACTTCTTTAGAGACGACAGTACGTTTGAAATCAAAAGTTGAGCTACAATTGAGCGATTCCGGTCCATGGATGTGGAACACAGTAGGCAACGAAACAAAGCTCTCGAGATAGTCACATTTGTTTCGTTTTGCGTGAAACTTATCGGGGTTTTCCAAACATCACCATTAATATTATCACCCTTGGATTTGTTCATTGCATGCTGTCACGTAGAAAAAGTCCTGACGTTGCAAAAGATCCAGGTAGAGCAACGTATTTATCAAGGGCAATAGATGAGAGTTACGAACGCGTTGACAAGTTCTAAATTTAGTCCATTCTGGCTAACATATGTGATCCCAGTACAAAAACTGTTTACGTCTCCCAAACACAAGCCTACAACAACAGCCTCCGTATTATTTAAGCTCCACATCATTCCCATCTGAACAGTTCTTATTCTTTCCTGGGGTGATTATTTTTTTATTTATTTTGAATGACCCGCCCCAAAGAAAGAATGTATTTCTCTCTTGTTAGAGTCATACAATAATTAAATGAACACGCATTAGATATGGGAGTATGTCACAAAGTCCTCAGGACGTTCGAGTAAACAGTGGCCATATTCGCTCTTCGAATGATGCGCTAGTTTTGCCCGACAGCTTCAACGATGTAGCTCGTCGACTCGCCCAGCGCAATTTTCGGTTCACGTAGCACCACCGCCCAAGGAGAATTTTGTCACACTAGTTGTGGGGATTCTTACAGAGATCCAACGGTGATGAACTTTAAAGGGAATAAACACAGGCGATTTCATCTGAACTGTGGTCTTTACAGGAATGGAGAGTTGTAGTAGCCATGTGCCATGCAGATAAAAGCCATGTTGTGGGTACCTCCAGTAGGTGTTCAGTCATGGACATTTTTAATCGCCTGGCAGCGAGTTTCTTTAGTGGGATGCATGTTTGGGTTCTGAAGTCCATTACTTCAGGCAGGTCTTAATGCATTACCATTCGAACTGGTATCCACGGAAATTATCGCCTGAAGCAGTGGATTTGTCTGCGATCGAATCTGTAGTGTTACAAGAACACACCCATCTTTTGGTAAGCAGTTTAGTTCATGCTATTGTTTAGTGTTTGTTTGTCCAGGCTTTGGTAAGATACTAATGATTGGTCAATGTTTTGTTGTTTCGAACAACAGTACTTGGTGCTACTTTGACAAGATCTGTAGCCACTATCTGATATTGAAGGACGTTCGTTTAGTTCTTGTATTACTGCACTGGGCTATCGGAACGCACTCGCTGATTTGTACTCAGGCCCTCACTTAGCAAGGTGCTGTGGTCTTGCAAAACATTTCTCGATCGTATATTACATTGGTAGATTCACTTAGTCAATCCTCCGCAAGCTGACCCCCGAATAACGTCCGATGCGCACCATAACCTATTCAAATATCAAAAACCCCAAATTCTTCGTTCATTAGCATTGAAATGGATGGCTGCATTGTGTTGTACCCTTTCTAGAGTTATCATTCTAGTGTTATCATCCAATACACGTGATGCGTGGAATGCTATTTTAGAAAGAAGTAATGAGGTTCTCATGACTCATGTCCCGAATAATCGCAACCTAAGCCGTGCCTTCCAGAGTTAGATTTTATGTATTCTTTTGGATGGTTCTAGCTAAGGGTTGCCCCGTGTGTGCCAAGCCACATCGCAGTTCTTTTTTTCTCTGATTCGTTCAGTTTCGTTCACCGATGATTTGGGGGGAGGGGGTAGGTAGCTGCGCATTGCACGCGCGAGCTGGTAAATTAGTGCATAAATCCAGCACTGTCAGTGGGCTGTCAAGTGAAGGGGGTTGAAAAAGAAGCTATGCATTGAAGGCAATAGCTTTGATGCACGAGCGCCATTGAGGGCGCGACTGGGCCATGTCTGATAATGTCTCTAGCCATTGATGTGGCCCGTCTCGGTGTCCCCATCCAGGAAGACGGCAGTGACCAGCGCAGCTGAGTTTGCTGGTACTGGCTTTCATACTTCGCTGCCAAGTCATTGTTTGACCGCCTCTGGCTCTCTTCCACCCTTCATATGGTTGGGCGAAAAGAGCCCCTCGAGGAAGTCAATCGACTGGCATACGCAGCACGTGGCCAAGCCAACGCAACCTGTGCAGTGTGATCAGTTCATTTATCGAGGGTGAGTTATTTCTCCCGAATACCATTCGACGTACTTCAGCATTGCTGATCCGGGGTTCCCACCAGATTCGGGCAATGCACCGAAGACATCGATGGTCAAACACTGAAGATCTTTTGGCGT